GTGTTGATATTTTTAGCCAAGTACAACAAATGTACTTCCGCAAACGGGAAACAAAATTTGCAAATTTCCTCCGCTACTTCTCAAAAAAATTAGGTAATCAATCAAGTAACAAACCGGCAGTTGGCAAGAGGAGATAGTAGGCACTATTTTCAGCGCTAAAACAACAAAAAAATCAACTAATTTGTAGGTGATGCAAAAAAAAGTTCACCAAAACTGTAAAAAAACCACTGTCCAAGAGCATTTAGGTACCAGCCAACTTCAGCAATTAAAGCTTGAAACAGAAGCTAAATGGGACTGGCAGAACCAAAATCTTAGCTTAACATGTCCAAGAATTTAAAACTGGAAACACTTTACCGGCTGAGTATTCTAACTACAAAACCTTTCGCTTTCAGCAGTCATCGATTCGTAATTGACTTGTTTAGTCCATAGCATCAAAAGATCCTAAAAACTAGACCCAAACATCTGAAATTCCTTGTACCTTCCCAAAGCTACGAACTGAAGGAAAACAACTTAATCATCCTCGCAAATTGAAAAAAATATTACAATTAAAGAACTGCTAGCCACACCAAATTTTTAATCTATATGGACTTTTCTTTCCCCTTTGGTGATCAAAATCATGCAGTGTAACAAGCCACGAGATGGAAATGTAATAATTTAAACAGGAACAACAAACAAACACTTTCAGAGACTTCACTTGGCAGCTTCAGCTTCCATATTTCGTTTCTGGCCTTGATCGTCCTGATTTATCAAGCTTTTTCTGCTTTTCTGCTTACCGCTCCTCGACCTTTTTTTTCCTTTTTTGAACCCCTTGTTTGAATTTACACTCTTAACACCTAAAAATAAAAATAAGATAATAGTAAAACAAATTAATAAATACCTCGTATCCCAATGTACTTCAGACAAAGTAACCAGACGTAAGTTATCAAAGTTCTTTCTCGCTAAGAAAGAGGTTCAAAAAACCATAAAAAAAACACTTTATTTTCCTTCAAAGAGCATAATCAAGAAACTGGTTAAAAACATTCAAACCTTTTCCAGCATACAAGTGAGGGAAAGCACCAGGTATTTGTTTCCTTATTGTGTGATATACCAAAACAACATGACCATCGACCCCGCTATATAAATCTTTAACTGGCGGTAAATCTTTAGAAATATCTGTTTTCCATTCTGCATCGAAATCAACAACAGCACTGGAAATCTTTGCTAATAAAATATTACTTTAGAAAATTATAACTCATTAGTGACTCTAAGTAATTGTCTGCTACTTAATAGCACAGTTTAAAAGTCGAAACGACTAGATTTTTTTAATGTATAAATGTATAAAGCCCAAGATATCTTTCTCTTTACTCCCTTCACGATAAATCAAGACGCAGCAGTTACTTTTCTTCCTTTCCCACTGTAGCCAGTAAGTCGACGTCATCATTCACACACCTCAACGCGTAAGAGCCGGGGTCCAAGTTTTGAAGACGATAAAGAACATCTTTGAGGCGTCGACAACTCGCCGACATTCTGTAAAAAGCCGTGCTCCCAAAGAAGTTTCCGATGAGATGGGAAAAATTAGTACAAAACTTTGCGATTAAAAACTAACAGAACGAGTTACTCAAAAGTTTTTCATTAAATTTGAAGAGATAAAAAAATACAAGCTTCTTCCATCAGGAATCCGTTCTAGTAATTTCTTTTCAAAAGCTCGCTCCTTCTGTAGTAAAAATAATTGGTTGTGATGAATTCTAAAAAATAGCCTCTCACGTATTATTTCCACAAATTGCCGCCACATTTTCACGACAACAAGGCAAAACAAATAAGGCATCAGCTACAGATCACCATTCCATAAAATACAAGAACTCACAAACCTTAAACGAATTAAGTCCTGCACACCTTTCAACCTGCACTTCAACACCTCCCGTAATAGCCACTCAGAAGTTAAATTCTAAAACTGAATGGTTTTTCAAAACTAAACAAAAATGTCGCAACATGCTATAAAAAAAAAGGTAACCCAACTCAAAAACACAAACATTCGCTTAAAACCTGTGGCGTTTAGACATTTTCCTCGAGCAAATTTACATCTTATATATCAATAAGTGAAAATAAATTCAACAACTGAGCCGATCTCAGTTTCCCAATAAATCCCAAAAATCCAAAAATATTAGAGTACAGTAAAGCGAAGTACATGCCTCAGCGCCATAATCTCCAGCGTATTCAATCTTGTTTGAGATCAAAACAGGCACCCCTTCATTATCCAAACCTGCATTATTGGATCGTACTAAAAAACTTAAGACTTCGTCAGGCCCGTCATTGATGGAAAAAACGCTATACCGTTTCCGAATGTCACAATTTTCGGTGACATGTTTCGAGGCCATTTCTGCCGTTTCTGGAAAGAATTTCGCACCAACAGTACATGAGTAATAAAAAAAGCTTGTGGCAAGTTCGGAGCCTACTACTGTTACCCAAGAAATCAAGGACTGAAGTTGATAATTACCAAAACTAGTCGCGGTCGAAACTGTAGCGTCTTGGGAAATGCCCATCTGTTTCATTATATCCCCTACCACGTCACCAGATCTTCAAAAAGAAATACTCTAAGAAAAAATGATAAGATTATTCAACAAGAAATCAGGTTACAAATTACAAAGTGGGAGCAAAATTTTCATTTGACACTAACGTAAGAGTCTCCGAATTATCTTTCCCATCATTAATATCGCCCGCTTTTTGAGTTTTCGCTGTCTCATCAGCTGCACTGGGTCGCGCACTACAATCAATAACTAGATCACATTCTTCGTCACTAGGAGCGACTTCTAAAAAAATTACGGTAGCAACGACACTGAGTTACTGATAAGCCAGAACAAAGATTAGAGAAAAAGAAACCCCGCAAAAGTTCTGTGACATTTACTGGCTTGAGATTCAATTCCTTTTTCTTCCAAACTGCCCTTTGACGGCCACCAGTCCTTGTTGCAATTTTTTCTTCAGGATATAAGCAGGAATTAACAGCATATTTTACATATTTATACCATACTGAAACTTGATTCATCGGACCGTCAGCCACTGGTTTTCCAACAATACAGACGTTCGAAGCTTGACCTGAAAAACAACGAACCTTGATATTAAATATATATGTTTTTGTCCGCTTGCTTACTTATTTATCTATATATGCGCATAATTTGTAGGTTTTTTAATCCGTCAAGGACAAACGAAATCTTTTGCTAATTTGTAATCTTGACCATTTTCACAGCAAAATTTTACATTTTTTCAAAATAAATTCATCAGCAAATTCTTGCACTTCTTCAAGAACAAACTTCAAAATGCCAAGAAATCTAGAAATCTCCAAGAAATGTTTGACTGAAAATAACAGGTACCGCTGGATTGATTGTACACTCTTCTTACTTCTACCGGCAAGAGGTATCTTGATATATCCGTAACTTGCGGCTTCACCATCAAAGACACTACACTACTCACACCAATTATGATTCCAATGCCATTCTCTAGGGCAAGGCTCAGTGCTGCTCCGTCTTCCATAATCGGATACTAAAGCTAATAAAAGAAAAAATAAATCTGTACTCAAAGCAAACAAAAAAGTACATGTAAAAGGTCGAAAAACCCAAAAATTTTCAAACACTATTATTCATTG